CACTGAGCCTGGTGTGTAGAGGGGGATAGGGTAGCAAGGTGCATCTCTATGCCCATGACTTGAGAGATCTTGGCCTCTTTCATGAGAATCTAGTGCTGTTTCCTGTCCCATGATCTGGACCCTGGGACTGTCTGTTTTGGCATCTTAACTGCAGTTTCAATGAGGCAGAGGGCAAAGAGAGACCAAGATCAGAGGGGCTCATTATACCCCTGGCTGGAGAACCCAGCTACTGCCATGAAAGCAGCTTGGGGCTGGCTGGACACAGGTACTAGGCCCATCGTTTTCAGGTGAAGCTTTCATCACAGAACAGTGCCATCTCCACCTGGCCATAGATGCCATGCCATGATTCAGGCCTGGATAGGCTGCCTGTGTCCTTACCACTGATCTGGCCAAGAATGAGGACCTCCCAACACTTTCACTCCCTCTCCAAGCCTTGATGGGACCTCCACTTACTTTAGGCCTCATGTGCTGTGAAGAAGCTTTGAGAGCCAATGTGGTGTCTTCCACAGGTCTCCTCTTTTTGCTGCAAGGAATCAGCCCCATGTATTCTCTGAAACTGAGAATTGCACCTGGGCAATTCCTGTTTTCTAAGGTGGTCTCTGCTGCTAGTTAAGAACCCAGAGTATGCCTCTGTGAGGCTTCAGTGGTCTCAGAAACCAGAGGGTCCAGATAGGGGGCCTGCTTGGGCCCTCTGTGGCCAACTGCTCAACCCTGCTTTAGCTCCAGCCACTTGTGCAAACCACCTCGTTTCCTTACAAATTCCAGCATGTGACTTTGGTGCCCTGTTACTTGTGAAAATTTATTCTGTTGTCTTCGATGTAGTCCAAAAAAAATTCATGTAGTTTTTACGTAAAAATATCTGACTCCCAAGAAAGCCAATTGTATGTCTTGTGATGGGACAGTTCATATGTAGTTCCTAGACCACTTTGCAAATTGTTCTTGTCACCAGATGTGTTCAGACATTGCTGTGCAATTGTGGGGGAGGGTAGGGGGAAAGGCGAGAGGAGTTACTTATTGGTCTTTTTGTTTTATAACCTTCCCCAAGAGGGGACAGTCTGGCCAACTTGCTCCAGTAATGCAATAAACACATTGCAATAAAGTAATTTTTTGTCTTCATGCTATGAAAGGGTGGGCTGGGGACAGAGTGGGGGTCAAGAGAGAAAAGTACTCAGGTGTTGAACAGCCCTTGAAACTTCCAAACCTTCTCTCCAGTAAGCGCCAAAAGACTAGTACTTGGGCTGAACTGGGGCAACCAAAGGCTCTTTTCTTCCTAGGGGAGGACATCCACTGCAACCAGGCATGATGCCAGAGTCCTATCCACCGAACACAGACACAGGGAGTCTCAGATATTGACTCAGAAAATTAAAACTGAATGCCATTTCCTCCACACCTCACTGCCCACTCCTGACTAATAAGCTGTTTATTGGTTCTCATATTTCTACCCAGAATGAAAAGTGTTTCCACATTCTACTCTGGGGGAGGGGGAAATGGACCCAGCTTTATAGTCTCTCCCCTTGTTGCCCCAGGCCCTTGTCATCTCCTACCAAGGCACACTGTTGAGCTTCCTGTATTCTGGGAATGTAATGAGCAAACATGTGATGACCTCTTGTTGCATAGGATATTGCAGCGCTCATCCATGTCTCAGGCCCCACCCATGTGTAGTCAATTACAAATAAGTCAGATTGGGACCACTGCTAGGAACTATGGATTTCTCCTGATCCCAGAGTTGTTCATACTTCTGTGTTTAGGATGCTCAGATTTCTATCTCCTTCCCAGTTCTTTCTTCTGAACCCTACCTGCTGGCTGGATATTTCCACTGGGCTCCTGGGTGGGTGTCTCACCGACACTTCAAACTTGTTTACTTGGGGCTGGGTGTGGTGGCTCATGCCTGTAATCCCCGCACTTTGGGAGGCCTAGGCGGGCAGACCACCTGAGGTCAGGAGTTCGAGAACAGCCTGGCCAACATGGTGAAACCCCGTCTCTACTAAAAGTACAAAAATTAGCTGGGCGTGGTAGCATGCACCTGTAATCCCAGCTACTCGGGAGGCTGAAGCATAAGAATTGCCTGAACCCCGGATGCAGGGGTTACAGTGGGCCAAGGCCGCACCATTGTACTCCAGCCTGGACAACAGGGCGAGACTCCATCTCAAAAAAACAACAAAAAAACCTTGTTTACTTGGCAGAAAAAGTATGATTGGCTATGAATTCCCTTACCTTCCTACCACCAAACCTACAACCTTGTCTACATCTATGTAACTATTCTCCCTCCCACCTGTTAAATTACAATAGTTGCCTCCAACTAAAGCCAGCCCTCCACATGTATTTTGGAATCTATTTTCTTCCACCTTAGGAATCTCCCAAGATTAAGATCAATTCTTTCTCTACTTCAACTGGATCATCTCCATTGATATTTAAACATGGTTGGTTGGTTCTCATTCTACTCCCCCAATCCCTACTCAATCATCCCATACATCTTTATTTCTTTTCTCCTCTTCAAAGCCAAGCCTTTGGAAAGAGCTGTCTTAAATATCCTTATTTCCTCATCTCAAGTATTTCAGTACTGGTTCCACCACTGTTTGAAACTGCTTTTCTTGATGCCTTCAATAACCATCACTGTTAACTATCCTCTCCATGGAAAGCTCCTTCATGGAGTCTTACTACAACTCATTAATCTAATATTCTTCTGACATCTGACTGTTCTTTTACATCTCCTGGATTCCTTCAATTCTCAACGCCATTTTACCTGGCAGTTTTATCCACAGTCATGAATCCACCCACCATCTCTAGGCCAATTACATCTGTTTATTTCACTTGCCCAGACCTCTATTGGAAGCTACTTCATATTTAGCTTATGGAATGCAGCACTGAACTACTTAGCCCTGGTTCTCTTCCTTCTTATTTCGGTGAATGGAAATACAATTCATCTGGTTATATAAGTCAGAAATGTAGTCAGTCATCATCCCCGATGGCCCTCTGCTTCATATCTAAAGTCCTTCACCAAGTATCAATCAAAACACCACTTCTAAGTTCACTGCTTCACTACCATCTGCATCCTTCATCCTGGAAGGCCCCCCTTCTTGTCCCCCTCAAATCCATTCTGATTATAGCAACCAGGCATCTTTTCAAAATACAAATTGGAACCTGTGGCAAACAATTACTAAGTCTCCATTGATCTTAGGGTGAATTACAAAATTAGATGGTCTGGCTTCTCCCTGATTCGGGATCTCATTCCCCACCTTCAACTTCTTTTCACTGGCTCTACCCCCTCAGCTAGTGCCAGTAACTCAGGACTTCTTCCTCATCCTGCGTATGTTCCCTGGACAGTCCTCATCTCTTGTGGCTTTCATTGCCTTCTACTGCCTGATGGCTCCCAAATCTAGATGTCCAGCTTCCTACCCTTTCCTTCCTTACCTCCTCACTGTTGCTGTTCTAGTTCACACTGCACTACCTCATCCTCTGTGGTACCCTCACTCCACTCCAGCCTCTCTATACTGCAGCCAGAGTGATCTTCCTAAAACAGAAGATAATACCACTTCCCTGAAGTTACCTTTCAGGAACTCTTCACTACCCCCACCAGTTTCTCAAAGGGAACACTACTGACATTTGGGGCAATTGCCCGATGTGGTATAGGATGTTTAGCATCTCTGTGCTTCCTCTTCCCATCCCCATTTCCAACCCTCTAGGAGGGCAGTTCCCAACATCCTTTACACCTGTGGTGTGCTGCTCCTGACCAGATCCCTATATGCACGGGGCACTTGCTCCCTCAGCCATGCCCCTGCCATCCTCCAGCTCACAACCTGTAATCTGTCTGCCAAGGCCCCGGTACATTAGCCCAGAGTCTACTGTGAATGAATGAAGAAGTGAAGAGAGGACTAGAAGGCTGAGGGGCCAAATATCTGCACAAATGGGCTCTGCCACTGTGGATACAGTGTGCCCTCTGGTGGCCACCGCCTTCCCAGGCAATGAGCCTCCTAACACTTCTTCAGACCTAGGCACTGGATTGTGGGACGATCAGTGCAACCAGTGCAAGACAGTTTCTCAAGTCTTCCACCACTATGGAGACAAAGCCTTGGTACTCTGCCAAGCCCCACTGCCTGCCCTGTGATGCCACCTCCTGACTCCCCTGGCTCTGGTCCCACTTATTTCCTCCCCCTTCCTCCCGCACTACCCATCAAATGAAGTTTTACTCAATGAGGGCTGCGCACACGATGTCCATCCACCTGCAGTGCTGAGGCCTCTACCTGCAACAGCCCAGGAAGAGCTCACTGGCTATAATCATGAAGGTTTTCTTACTAAATATGACTGGCAGCTTTGTTTTCATCTCACCCTCACCTCGGCATTTATCAAGTAACTTCTCCGTCCATTTTAAAAACTCTTTCCTCCTGTGGACTTTATGACTCTTGGGCTGTTCTGTCTTCTATCTCAAACACACCCAAAGTTAAACTGCCTCCTCTCACTTCTTCCCCTCCTTATTTCCTGGCTGAGGCAATCCAAGTTAGGAGACACATGTGAGTTCTGGAGTCCAAGGGAAACCTAGGTTCTAACCCCAGTTCTACCCAAGCTGTATTACCATGGCCATCAAAGCCTGAGTGCCCTTATCTATAAAGAAGGAATTTTAGTTGCTACATGGTATTTTCTGGTTCCCCATCACCTTCACAAAGTCATCTCCTGGAAGACCATTAGACATGGCCCTTGCCTCACTTGCCAGACCCATTTCTACTTTGAATTATCTTTGGTTCCTTGAATATACCAGGTATACTGTATGTGCTAAATGTTGCCTGGACAGCCTTTCTTAAACCAGCCTCCACCCTTGCCACACCCAGCAACTACTACGTATCATCTGTTCTTCATGTTTGAGCTCAAATGTCACAGCCTTTGGGAAGTCAAGCTGGGTTAGGTGGCCCTCCCCTGATGGTGGAAACTGTTTTATTCCCAGCAGCAACACAGGACCTAGTTACATGTGGGTTGACCGAAGGAAAACAAGCAAGCAAAAGACAACGATGGTTTCCAGGAGTATATATTACACAGGTCTGAGTGCAAGAAATGGCAAACAACTGCTATGTTTGCTTTAAAAGCTCATCTGGAACCAATGCCAAATCCCGATGCTTTTGATGGCCCCCTGGTTCTTGGCCCCTCCAGAGGAGGCTGGACTCAGACTCCTGGGAGAGGGGGCAGCCTTGGCATGGAACGTCCTGCCTTCTGTCACCTGAGGCATCAGGCACTTGGGTGATGCTCAGGGCTGGATCCTCTTTCACTGCTTGTGCACCCTCAGACTCCCATAGCCAGCCCTGGCTGGGATCCTCACAAGGTGGACGGGCACTGGGTGGCTGTGTCTTCCCCTGCTCCCTGGGAGACAGGTTCTTAGGATGGGCTGGAGTTGTGGTTTCCAAATCCTGGAGGTTGACTAGCCCACCTGCCATGGTTGCCTTTCTGCTTGGGGATGCCCTGTCTGGGCCCTCAATATGGAATTTCCAGGACCACATGCCCAGCTTCCCAGAGGTGGAACTGGGAGGAGAGCAACTGCTGGTGGGGGTGAGTCCTGAAGTGCTGGAAGAAAGTGCTGCTAGTGCCTGGGTGTGGAGGTGCTGAGCCTTCCAGCAACCTTCAGAAGGGATGGGGTCTGTGGCTCCAGACCTACCCAGGTTGGGGCCTGGTGAGGAGGAGCTGGCAGCCTCCTCGACGGCTTGTGGGCTCCCAAGCCTCCTGTGGGGACCACTGGGACTTTCCATTCTGGGAGGCCCCAGTGTGATCCCTGTCAATAGGCTTGGGACCACTGGGCCCGGGCTCCTAGGGTCTCTGGATGGGAAAGTTTCCTCTTCCCCACTCTCTCCTGTTCCTTTGGGGGCCACACTCTGGCTCACTGCTGGGTGAGGTGCCAGGCTCAGCTCCTGCGCACCCTGGCTGTTCTCAGGCCCCTCCTCGGTGTCGTCCTCTGAGGAGTCCACCTCACGAATGGCTTCTTGCTTCTGCAGTGACTCCCGTCGTTCAGCTCGGTCCTGCCGGAGGGTGCCTAGGGCCCGTGAGGGAGCAGGCTGCAGCACCCCCTTCCCTGGCAGGGCCCCCTTGCCAGACAGCACACTCCTGGCTCCAACTACCTCCAGAGGGCTCACTTCCCTGGGCGGCAGTTCCTTCTTTAGCTCAGAGTGGGGCAGGTCAAGGCTGTGCTTGCGAGAAGTGGCTAGCTTCTTCTCAGAAGCGGCAAGTGCTGCTGCCAGTTTCTCAGCTGACTGCACCCTCTTGAGTAGTGGTGAACGGGGTGGCTCCGCACTCTTGGGCCGCGAGAGTTGTCTGCCCAGGGGAGGTGACAAGTGAAGCTTTGTGGGAAAGGCCTGGGCTACATGGCCAGACAGGGGTGATGGGGACCGCTGAGGTGAAGCTGCTGGGGGTGGGGGAGAAGGGGTGTGGGCCAGTGGTGACAGTGGGATGCTGCCTGCTGACTTGCGCCGTGGAGAGCGGTACTGGCGTTGGAGCTTGGGTGCCAGACCGTGGAGGGAGCTGGGCCGTGTGTGCCCAGAGCCGGCTGGGGAACTGGGCACGCTGGAGCTGGGGGAGCTGCTCTGTGATGAATTCCCTCCCACTTTGTACAGAGACAGACAGACAGACAAAAGCAGAGCAGTGTTAGCTGTTAGAAGTGACGAAGGGCAAGACAGGGCTTAGCCCTGTTATGTCCCAGAAACCAAGCTACCCCCTTCCCCATCAATTAATTCCTCCCCAAGACTACAGGATCTTCCAGGGGGCGGCTGAATGAGAGATTCAGAGTGGGTCTGTGACAAGCACACAGGGTCTAGGAACTCTCCTATTTCCCAGGGGTTGTTTCTGACAGTTTTCTGTCAGGGAGCCCTTCGTACCTGAATGCACAGCATCGGGGGTCACCCGGTAGCCTTGAGTGGGAGATCGGGGGGAAAGGCTGTGGCTGTGTGTGGGAGAGCCTGGCCCACTCTCCCCTGATGACAAGGAGCGGTTAAGGGAAGAAAGGCTGCGGCTGGTGTGGAGCAGGGATACTTGCTTAGCGATCTTGCGGAACAGGGAGCTCCTTTTTCTGCTGTGGGGATAAGGGTCAAAGGCTGAGTCAATGCAGAGAGCACAGCACACCCTGGGCCCAGGGCCAAGGCACCCGGCACGTACTGGCACTCATGTGGCTCAGAGAAAACCCTCTGGACTGCACCTGGCTCACCTTTCTTGCCCATCCTTGCCGCGGCCCCTCTTGCTCCTTCGGGCCATCTTGGCCTTGTAGCTGCCCTTCCGCGCTGGCCCCACTTTAATGGATGTGTTCTCCAGGGGAGTTGTTGAAATGGCCACCTTGTTTCCACTCTGGGGAGCAGAGCATGAGGCCTAGGCTAAGCTGGAGCCATATGCTTCCCTCCTGGCATGGCTATACCACTTTTGCCCCTGCACCAACACATCTGAACCACGGGCCTGTATTATTCTGTCTTCACAGATGAGGAAATGTCTCCCATTGGAGCCCCAGAGTAGTCTGGGGTAAGAAGGTAGAGAACAGGCTAACCCGTCCCATTCTGCAGCCCTACCCACAGCTCAGAAGGATCCCTGGGCCTTAGTCAGGGAGGGTGCCACCTTGTGGAGAAAACTCTCTGTTGTGCCACATTCAAGTTCTGTGTGTACCTACATCTTTTTTTTTTAAGACAGAGTCTCTCTCTGTCACTCAGACTGGAGTGCAGTGGTGCAATCTCAGCTCACTGCAACCTCTGCCTCCTGGGTTCAAGCGATTCTCCTGCCTCAGCCTCCCGAGTAGCTGGGATGACAAGTGCCTACCACCACACTTGGCTAATTTTTGTATTTTTTAGTAGAGATAGAGTTTTGCCATGTTGGGCAGGCTGGTCTCAAACTCCTGACCACAGGTGATCTACCCACCTTGGCCTCCCAAAGTGCGGGGATTACAGGCGTGAGCTACCGTGCCCAGCCATTTTTTTTTTTTTTTGTATTTTTAGTATAGGCAGGGTTTCACCACGTTGGCCAGGCTGGTCTCGAACTTCTGGTCTCAAGTGATTCACCTGCCTCAGCCTCCCAAAGTGTTGGGATCACAGGCAGGAGCCACCGCGCCCGGGCTGTGTGTACCTACATCCATACTCGGTGTAGGTGTGTGTGCACCCAACTCACCCACTCCCCTAACTGCCATCACAGACTCACAGGCCAAGGTCATTCAGGGACCATGCGGGCAGCACGCCCTGCACTAACCTTCAGGATCAGCTCCACCACCTCCGTGTGCACCAGCCCATGCACAGGTTCCCCATTGACATGGGTGATGAGGTCGCCTTGACGAAGCCCTGCCTCGCTGGCCGGACCTCCGTCCTCCACGTGCTACCCCAGGAAGAGAATAGTACTCAGACTGGAGCCTGAACACGAAGTATGGGGCTTGGTTCTGCACATTAAGCTGTGAGCCCCTTCACCACCACCCTTTGACCCCCGAGCAGGGACAGATGGGCTCCACAAAGGGGAAGCCGGAAGGATGATGAAGCTGGGAGACAGCAGGTCTGGATGGTCATCAGACATACCCACACCATGTGGTGCACGGTGTAGACGTCGGAGTCACCCATGTAGACGCGAATGGCCCGCAGGGTGAAGCCATACTTCTTGCCAGCTCGGTGGATGATGATGGGAGGCCTCACGCTGCCAAGGGCTGGCAAGAAGTCCCTGCTTGGAGAAGAGTCCCGGGATGACGGGTTGGACGACTGAGAATGTGGGGACATGGGGCTGGCCAGCGGGGAGCAGGTGTGGTGTTCTAGAGAAGGAGAAGCCAGGACTTAGTGGGTCAGAGGGCCTTGGCCTGGCCCACGGTCCAGTCTGTTGATTTCAGCACAACTCTAGTCACAGAGCCTGAGCCCAGGTCCATGTTCTCCACAGCCCCTGACCTGTGAAGCCCTCTCCTGTGCCCAGACCCCAAGAGACGGTGGTGGTGATGAGAAATAGCAGCTAGCATTATGTATCAGGGACTATGTAAGCTTATCATACATATTTAAATGTCACAATTAACTGATGAGCTGGCCACTATTATATCCACATTTCTGGATGAGAAACTTGAGGCTTAGAGGAGTTAAGCAACTTGCTCAAGGTCAAAAGCCTGTTAGTGATGGAGCCAGGATTTAAGTGTGAGCTCTCTGCCCCAAAGCCTGCACTTGTGACATGGTGCTGTCCTGCCTTCTGGCACATGTATATATACACAACCCCAGACACCAATACACACCTTCAGAGACCACAGTCTCTGAGATCCCTGCTTAACACATATACACCTGCCATGTGCAGAACCTTGCCAAGGCCTAGAGATTCTAAGGCCCTTCCTATGAGTTTTATCCCAGCTCTCCAGGGGCCTCACCCGAAGGAATGAGGAGTGAGAGGGCTGTGGCTGAGGCGGACTTGATCACTTTGTTGACAGGGCGAGTGGTGCGCTTCTCTGTTGAGTCCCCAGAGAGCAGCCGGTGGCGGGCCCTACGCACAGCCAGGTCACTGATGGCCTTGGCTGTGGCTCCCTCAGCCAGCTGCGGGGTCCCACGGCCTCTGGTCTCCATAGCTGTAGGCCCAAGGGAGCAGTGAGACCGCGATGCTGCTGAGCTTCCCCGCCCTGCAGTATCCTCCAGCTTAGGGCCTTTGGCCGCCCACTGGGCCATACCTGGACTGGAACCACTGCTCCGGCCAACAGCTTCCTCATCCAGCTTTGGCCGCTGCTCCCCTGAGCGTTCAGCAACAGGCCCAGAGGCCCCCTCTCCAGAGGGGGGAGTCAGGACCCATATCCCCTCCTGCGGTTGCCTCCTGAGGGCGCTGCTGGCCTCCTCAGGGCCCTCGGGGAACCGAGGCGCATCCAGGAGGCCTGAGCAGCGGCGTCGCACTGTCATGGGAGGGCTGGAGTCACTCTCTGTGTGGGACGACTCAGACACCGACAGTCGCTTCCGTAATCTATGAGACACAAGGCCTGGGGTGAGATGGCCCAGGTGGTCCCCCTCCTCCTGCGAGGTCTCCTCAGGGGCACACAAGGGTTGTAGTAACAGAATTTTCCTCCGCAGACATTCCTCTAGGAGTCACCCTTGTGAATGCCCCCTCACTGCCACCTGCACTCCTCTGCGGCATCGGAATCTCTCCCATGATCTGTGACAAAGCAGGGATAGCTGTGTCGCCCACCCTGGGTGAACTCTGGGGTGCTCACATCTCAGGGGAGCCAATCACCCAGCTCCGGTCTCGGCCTTTGAGCCCTGCCAGGCCATCTGAGCGGTCCTCCTTCTCCTCACTCAGGCTGCGCTTGGTGGGGGGTGGTGTCCGGCGCTCCTCGAGCAGTGAGAGCCGCTCCATGCTGCTGTACACCTGTGGGCACAGGGGATGCGCTGGGGATGGGCTGTGGCAGCCGTATCTCCCAAGTGGCATAAAGCATCGGAAACGTAGGAATTTCAACCAGTCGGCTCCTTCCCTCCTCCACACACCCCTGAATATTTGGGGAAGCGGTTATTCCACGGATCTGACCTGGCATCTCACGTCAGGGACTACAGTGGTTCTAGAAGCACCTATATATGGCTATATGTAGCCCCAGCCCTCAGCTCCTCTTTCTCTAGAGGCGGCCCCAACCCCAACTCCCTGAGCCTGCCCAGGTGTGCCCTTTGACAGGCCCTCTTCTTCTGATCCTCCAGCCTGTTCTGCCCATCCTGGGCCTCCTCAGTCACACCTTGCTGAACCTTGGAGAGCAGGAAGAGAACTGGCGGATCTCAAGGCAGCCATCTTCACTCACTTCTTCCTCATCCTCCGAGTCCATGTGGTGGTATCGCTCTGAGCGGGCTGGGCCAGACATAAAGGACACTTTCCTTCAGAGCCCTGCTGGTGGCCTCCTTGTGACCCCATTAGATTTCAGCAGAGCCCTGAGAAGTTGCTCCCAATGCCAAGTTCAGTGTGCACAGGTGTTTCTAGGCAAACAGGTAGGACCCATACTCCACTCCACACATTGGCGGCCTTACTGTCAAAATAGCTAGTATCGTCCTCTGACTCCAGCTGAGGAATAAATTCAGCTTTCTGGCGGAGAAGTCCTGTCCAGTCCAGACCAGTAAAGAATGGGTGCTGCTTCACCTCATAGGCACTGCCTGTGGAAAGGGAGGGCATGGGCAAGGGGGAAGGATGAGCCGCATGGAGTCCAGGTCAGCAAACCTCGTAAGAAGCCAGACCTTGAGAAGCTATACTCAGGGGGTCAGCTCAAGCATCTTCCCTTCCCTGCCTACAGGGAGCAGGGCAGAGTTTCAGGATCCAGAGGGGCTGCCCGTAACTGAAGCCTGAACCTCCAGGGTACATGGACTCAGCCTCCCTTACCCCTTTTCTAAGTAGTGGGAAAAGTTAGCAGGGCCTGCCCTACCTGTGCCCAGTCTCTCCAGAGGGTTCTGGTGGAGCAGTTTGGAGGTGAGGTCCTGGGCGTCTGGGGGCAGTGCATCATCACCCTCAGGCCACACAATCTCATCTGAAGTCATCAGGGGTGAGAGGGAGAGGAGAAATTGTGGGTAGAGTGGAGAGATGTAGAAGAGGGTCCCAGGACAATGTAAGGAAAGGAGTCAAAAAGGACCCAGCTCGGAGTCCCGGAATGCCTTGCCTGGGACCCCAGTCTTTAATTTTTTTAGGTTCCTAGACCATGGCTTGATCTTTGATCCATGGTGGGCACTGCAAAGCTCTAGCTCACCCTGCTTTTATACTCCACAAAACATACACAGACATACCCCTCACACTTATGGGATGTGCACATACACAGACAGGAACACACAGGTATATATGGGAGACACGTGAGGCCCTAGGGGACACAGTGTCCACATGTATGTACATGCAGAAACACAGAGACACCCACCCCCAAAGCAGCAGACATCACAAACACATGGTGAGTTCAGAACAAGAGCTCACAGGCCTCATGAGCTGCCTGCATACATCATAGTTGTGAATCCAGACTGTATCCCCACTGGGCCAGCAGGATAGTACCTACCACTGATCACTTGGCCAAAGAGCTCCTCCGGAGTGTCTCCAAAAAAAGGGACGCAGCCCACCAGGAACTCATACAGGATAATGCCCATGGCCCACCAGTCCACCGGCTTCCCATAGCCCTGGCGCAGGATCACCTCAGGCGCAATGTATTCTGGGGTCCCGCATACCTGGGCACAGAAAAGCCAGGCTGGCTCAGCCTCCTGAGGCTGCTCACTGGCATGACAGCGGGAGACGCGGGATGCTCCCATCTCGAACAGAAGAGTCTCTGAATGAAGACTCAGCCCACCTTAGTTAATGAACAAAATCAACAGAAGCCCCAGGGAACAAGAGTCGGAACTGTCAGCAGGTATTTGCTAATTAACAAAACTGTCTCATTCTAGCCCAGAACTACCATCCCTTAAGCCCTCAACACCCACCTCTGGCATCTGATCCCACAATTGGCCTCTGCACTCCAGCCTCTAACAGAACAGACCCTACCGGTTACGTAACTACTACAGGGACTGGTGAATAGTCACAACCTGAAATGTCAAACCAGGGAACATCCAGAGGCTGCCTCTCAGGACACTGGGCCACAGCCCAGTGGAAATTCAAACCTGTGTTCCAAGAACCTCAGGCTCCAGGAGAGCCTTGTCCTTGACTCAGGCTGGGAGATTCGAGACTGACCTCATATGAAACTGTGCTAACAGTTACATGACCTGTTTTCTCCAAACCCTGAGAAGGAAGATGACTTTGGATTTTATATCCATATGATTCTCATGGCTCATCCTGTTTTCCAAATGTGCTACCTATCTCAATGCCTCTCTGGAACCCAAAGGTAGAAAAGATAGGGGTTCCCAATCTTAACATCTAGCTACAAGGTAGACATATGGCCCCAAGGCCTTATTCAAGGGCCTGGAATCTATGTATGTGTATACAAATGTAGAGATGGGCTCTCACTATGTTGCCGAGGCTGGTCTTGAACTCCTGGCCTCAAGCGATCCTCCTGCCTCAGCCTCCCAAAGGGTTGGAATTACGGGCATGAGCCACTGTGCCAGGACAAGGGCCCAGAATCTACCCTCCAATGTATCAACTATCCTTCCTTACCTGCTTGTCCAGGAATTCCCGGGCATCCTTTTCAATGTGACCCTCATACAAGTTCGTTGTCAGACTCATGAGACCAATTTTGGACAGTCCAAAGTCCGTGAGCTTGATGTGCCCCATTGATGTAATTAGGAGGCTGGGAGACCGGAGAAATAAAATTATGAAGTTATTCCTGGTTTTCTGAGAGTACTGATTTTAGTATATGCCCAATTTCCCCACTCAGGCTTCCACGGGGGTACTGTGAGACATAAGCTGGGTAGCTTCAGCAGGGGGGACAGGGAGGTGTGGACACGTAAATCGCTCTGGCTGTGTGAGTGCTGCATTCTGCACAAGCAACGAACCTGCCTTTTGCCCATTCCCACAACTCCATTTCTGTTCACGGCCCTAACTGTATTCTATATTGGGGGCAGGAGTCATTCAGTTGAACAACAGAGTTTCTTCTACAGAGCTGAGATCAGCCTTATTCTAAGGCTGGAGCCATTCCTAGTCCCCTCTCCCGATCTGAGTGGCCCATAATACTTCTGTTTCAGGGAGAAGGGCAGGGGGCACATAATTTTGTTCCATGTCCATGGCTGGTTTTGGGAGGAGGGTTAGTTGGGAGAAACTAGAACTAAGATCCCTTTATATATTCTGCCTGAGTCACTCATTTTGTGCTGAAGGCTTTACCCTGCCACCCTTTTATTCTAATGACTCCCCAAATAGTACCTCTGGCTGTGACTTCCTTTTTGAGCTCCAGGCCCACCCAACTGCCCATATGTCTTACAGGCACCACAAACTCAATCTGTCTAAAACAAAGTCGTGCCTCCCAACTGGTTCTCCTCCTCAGTGAAAAACAATAATTTCGGTTATCTATTGAGCTCTGTGCTAAGTGCTTTAAAAATATTCTGGCCCCTGAAAGGTTTTCTAGAGTAACACATCAAAGGTAGGTGTCATTATTCCCTATTTTAGAAAGCAGGTACGTGAGGGTCAGGGAAATTTTAATTAATAGACTCAAACTCAAGACTTAATAAGCAGAAGAGTGGCCATTTGAATTCAGGTCTGTCTTATGTCAAAGCCACTTTCTCCCACAGAGGCTTATCACCCTGCCCCAGTTCCAAGCTGGAAATCTGGAACACACCCCAGCCTCTTCTGTTCCCTTGCTTCCCTTCCTGCCCCACCCCAGCCTGGTCCTCTTTCCTGTTTCCCCACGCTGCCCTCTTCTTTCTACCCTGACCCCCTGCTCTGCTGCAGGCATTGCTGGCTTTGGTCTCAGTGTCTCTTTTCATCGGCAGAGCGAGCTTTCTAAACCTAAACCACAATCTGGGCATGCCACTCTATCATATCCTTGGTTAGCAGACCCTTCCAAGACTCTCTAGGCCCCTTTAAAATAAAACCCAAATGTAACAAAAGGACCCTTGATGAACCAGTTCCTGCCTCTCTCTCCAGCCTTTTCTCTTACTACTCTCTCACCATCTAAGCTGTCACCACATTGTACTATTTGTAGTTCCTGAACAAGTGCTGTTCTCTCGCACCTGTGTGCCTCTGCACATTCTGCTCTCCTGCTTTAGAAAGCAGGTCTTCCTTTTTCCACTTGACTAATACCCTCTGAGAAGAAGCTCTTATATATATATTTCTGTCTCCCACTGTAGACTTAAGTTCTACATGCCAGGGACTATATTTAAAACCCAGAATATAGTGCTTGGCACAGAGTAGATGTCAGTAAATGTCAGTAAACTTGTTTAACCATCTACTAGATGTGCTTATTCTTTTGTTCTTGCTTGGTTTCTTCAGTGGAGCTCCTCAATGACCTTTTTTTTTTTTTTTTGGAGACGGAGTCTCACCCTGTCACCCAGACTGGAGTGCAGAGGTGTGATCTTGGCTCACTGCAAGCTCCACCTCCCGGGTTCACGCCATTCTCTGGCCTCAGCCTCCCCAGTAGCTGGGACTACAGGCACCCGCCACCATGCCTGGCTAATTTTTTTTTGTATTTTTCATAGAGACAGGGTTTTACCATGTTAGCCAGGATGGTCTCAATCTCCTGACTTCGTGATCCACCTGCCTCAGCCTCCCAAAGTGCTGGGATTACAGGCGTGAGCCACCGTGCCTGGCCTCTCAATGACTCTTTCATGTCACCAAAGCCTTATAATATTCCAGCCAGACCCTGAGGCAATGATCTGCATCTGGGGTGGTCGGGGGGCTAGAGAACTAGGCCTAGATGGACACACACAGGAGCATGTTTTCCCAGTAGCCATCTGGATAGACTTAGAGCTACTGTGCTTGCCAACATTTTATCTAGAGACCCAAGAGGGAGACCCTGGACAAGGGACACAGATTGTGGACATACTTGTCAGGCTTGAGGTCACGGTGCACGATGCCATAGTTGTGTAAGTACTCCAGGGCCAGCACAGTTTCCGCAAAGTATAGACGCACCATGTCCACAGGCAGGGCCCCAATATTCTTCAGCAGAGTGGCACAGTCTCCCCCTGCAACAAGCCCAGGCTACCATGAGGAAAGGATCCAGTTCCCTGCTCTAGCCAGCTCCCATCTGGCAGTTTCTGAGGTCCCAGAGGAGACAGCTTCATGGAATATCCTGGTGCTGGAGACTCTGATTCTAGCCCCTTTGCTGCTGGCATGGGTGGGAGACACAGTGATATGGTTTGGCTGTGTCCCCACCCACAGCTCATCTTGCATTGTAGCTCCCATAATTCCCATGTGTTGTGGGAAGGGACCTGGAGGGAGATAACTGAATCATGGGAGTGGGTCTTTCCCATGCTATTCTCGTGATAGTGAATAAGTCTCATGAGATCTGATGGTTATTTTTATTTATTTATTTTTTTGAGGCAGAGTCTTGCTCTGTCGCCCAGGGTAGAGTGCAGTGGTGTGATCTCAGCTCACCGCAACCTCCGCCTCCCAGGTTCAAGCGATTCTCCTGCCTCAGCCTCCCGAGTAGCTGGGATCACAGGCGTGTGCCACCACACCCAGCTAATTTTTTTGCATTTTTTTGTAGAGATAGGGTTTCGCCATGTTGGTCAGGTTGGTCTTGAATTCCTGACCTCAGGTGATCTGCCTGGCTCAGCCTCCCAAAGTGCTGGGATTACAGGTATGAGCCACCATGCCTGGCTGAGCTGATGGTTTTATTTATTTATTTTTTTTTTTTTTGAGGCAGAGTCTCGCTCTGTCGCCCAGGCTGGAGTGCAGTGGAGCGATCTCGGCTCACTGCAAGCTCCGCCTCCCAGGTTCCCGCCATTCTCCTGCCTCAGCCTCCCAAGTAGCTGGGACTACAGGCGCCGCCACCACGCCCGGCTAATGTTTTTGTATTTTTAGTAGAGACGGGGTTTCATTGTGTTAGCCAGGATGGTCTCGATCTCCTGACCTCGTGATCCGCCCGTCTCGGCCTCCCAAAGTGCTGGGATTACAGGCTTGAGCCACCGCGCCCGGCCAAGCTGATGGTTTTATAAAGGGGAGTTTCCCTGCACAAGCTCTCTCTTGTCTGCCGCTATGTGAGACATGCCTTTCACCTTCTGCCATGATTGTGAGGCCTCCTCAACCACATGGAACTACAAGTCCATTAAACCTCTTTCTTTTGTAAATTGTACAGTCTCTGGTATGCCTTTATTAGCAGCATGAAAAGGGACTAATACACAGGGTATGGAGCGGGGCGCAAAGTAAAGTGAATCTGCTGATAGCTGTCATGGACATTTTTCAGGCCAGAGAGGGAAGGAACCCAGATTTTTATTAAAAGTAATGGCAAAAATGCCATTACTTTTGTACCAGCCTAATATTTTAGGACAGGAATACTGCATAGTGTAAACACATCTGGCTGAGACATTAACATTTGTTCATGTTACTTCCTTCTTACTGGCTTTTAGTTTCTGGGTAGAGTAACACTGTGAACTCCCAGCATGTACCCAGTAAACACTAAAGGACATTTTTTTTCAGCTTCAGCTTCAAGACTAGGCACAGTATCTTCGGAGGCTGTACACATAGTGAGAATGTGAGAGGGAAGGCCACTGGCAAAGCTGCTGCCTCTCTCCAGAACTATGCCCCGTGTTGCTCTTCTGTTCTACTCACAGAGCATTTTGCATGGTTTTAAGAGGTGTCCCCTTTGCAAGCCAGTCAGGGTAATTAATGGCTTTCCTTTCTTCTGAGGGTCCAGATGCAATCCTCTGAACACCCAATCTTGGGCTTTTGCAGCTCTGCTGCCTCCTCTGTTGCTGTCTGATACCAGCAGTAGAGAGAGTGCAGGCTTTGGGGTGCAGGATTCTACAGCTGCTGGCCTGCTACTTCCTATCCCAGAGTGCCTCCCATGGCAGAGGCAGGCAGCTTTGTGCCCACCGTGGCCAAATGGTCTCTGTGATCCTGAGGCAGAAACCAATGCCAAAGGTGGACTGGAAAGCTGGGCCCTGAAACTTCACCTCTGTAAAAAAGCTGCTGGTCCCTGTTTAAGGCTCAGATTGTGCCTTGGCCTCCATGCCAGGCCACCTTTGCCTCAGTACCTTCAACATACTCCATCACCATGCACAAGTGGCGCTTGGTCTCAAAGGAGCAGAACATGCTGACCACAAAGGGGTTCTCAGCGAAAGTCAGTATGTCACGCTCCACGAAGGCCTGCTGGATCTGGTTCCGTAGGATCAGGTTCTGCTTGTTGATCTTCTTCATGGCAAAGCGCTGCCGGGTGGACTTGTGCCGCACCAGGAATACAGCCCTGGGAAACACAGTCCGGCCCATCCCCCATGGACCCTCAGCACCAGAGCTGTGCTCTCTGCCACCCAAACTGCCTTCTCTCACACCTTAATTAATGCACAGAACAAGGGGGCAGGGCATGCATACCAATGAGAAGGATCTGGGAACCCCTAGCCCATAGAACTCTTAAACTTCCTGACAGACCATGTCCTGATGACACGGCTCAATGCTTCCCCAGAGCTCAGGGAGAGGAGGATGCGTGGTAACAAGAGGTGTGGGAATCTTGTCTAGGAAAGGAACAATGATCGATGTCAGAGGAATCTGAACTCCTGCCCACCCAGGAGGCTTCTGGGAGTGAGAAGGTCCACCCTGAGGCATCTGCCCAGAGGACTGGGCAGCATACACTCTCACATGGAAGAGATCAAAGGCTGACCTGGTTTCAGTCCTGGCCACACCCTGACCCCTGCCTTTACCCATAGGCGCCATTGCTGATGAGCTTAATGGTCTCGAAGTCCTCTTCAGAGGGTGTCTTTTTAGATGGCAGAGATGCCCCACGGCCCTGGAAGACAAGGGGAAAGGCAGGAGACAGGCATGCTTCTCAGAGCCCATATCCTTGCAGAAGCTGTGGCTCTAGCGTTCTCAGCTCTTAGCTCTAGCGCAGTCCCCTGCCCATTCTTCTGGGAGTAGAATGACTTCTCAGTGTTTGCTGTCACCAATTCCCCCATCCCTTCTTCAGATAGTCTCTTAAAGAGAACTCACAGCTCTTTGCTTCGTAGGGCCCAGGCTCCAGGAATGGGGCAGGAGCTCAGGGTTTTTACCTCAATAGAATCATCTGTCTCTGGAGTGTCAGGACTGTCACAGCTGCTCAACTGGGCCATTTCTGGAAACAAAACAAAGACACAAGAGAAGAGTGCGTGGCAATGTCAGGTATCTCAGCAGTATCCTCAGATCACACAACAGGTGCATGTAGGGTAGGCATTAACGCTTTTTGCATCAGCCTAGGACGTGAATTCAGTCCCATGGCACTATACCCAATGTAGTCCCAGCTTTTGGACCAGGAAACAAGCCAAATCCTACTGCTACTCCCATTTCCAGAAGTCCATTGCCATTCACAGGGCCTGGCAAATTCTATAAACTTGGGAAATTTCCTGGAAAACAGGACCTGAAACTGGGTTACTAGTTCCCATCCTGCTGGCCAAGACTGCTTCACTGGATGGGGCTGGGAAGCACAGAAGGCAGGAGCAGGATACCTACAGACCAGGGACTTGGAGGCCCATGGTTGCTGCAGGGGTTCAGCAGAAGCCCAGAAGAATGGCGGTATCCTCTGAAGCCCTGTGCTGGACCACCCTAAAGACACAGGAAGACCTGTAAGGTGGCCAAGAGGAGAGGCAAGGTGCAGAGGAGGTGACCATTTTTGCAAATGTGATTGTGGCTCTTTGTTGTTGACCTCTTTGGAACTGAGGTTCTAAATGCAACTCAGCCGGGCCGATGCAATCCAGGCTGGGATCTACCAGGCAGATGTGAACAGCAGTTCCAAAGGAAAGACGGTTTTGTCACAGAGATCACAGTGTATATCCTAAATTCCTGAAGCCCCTGGGGCCATGCTGTGTCCACGTCCAAGCTAAGTCTCTTCTCCAAGCAGCTTCCCTGCTGTTAAAGCTTGCCAGCAGCGGTGGGGCCTCTCTGCAGCCACCAGGCAGTATGCTCACCCTCTAGGGGATCCCGTGTGAGGCCCAGCTGGCTAACGATGTAGCGGGGAATGTCACATTTAATCCCTTGTCCCTCTTTGGCGTGGCCCTCAGCTGCTTCTAATAGGTGGTAGAACTCTTCAGGGTCAAACTCCTGTACCAAGGGAGAGAGGCAGTCAGTGGTGACAGATAGAAGCAAAAGCTGCTGGCCTCTTTGGTTTTAGAGCATATAGTAGACTGAGATGAACAAGACTTTCTCTGTGACAGGACATTCCCACCCCTCAATATTCAGAAATAACACGATTCAGGGATCACAGGAATGGGGATGAAGATGTCTTACAGGTCACCTCCAGATTGGACATACTCAGCATATGGTATCTTCCTGGCAATAAGAACTAGAGGTTTTACTCTAAAGAGAGCTCAGCCTACTGATCTGGTCCCATGCCTTACATCAGCCAGTTGGCACTGTCTGGTGTATTCAGATGCCCAGTCCACAGCAGTCCTGGCACACACTCAATTATGACTCATAAGAGCTTTGGCACAGCCCTACTGGTGCATGCATACCTTCAAATATTTACTGGGCACCTCCTGTGCGCTAGAGGCTAGAGATCCATTGAAAAGCACAGTCCTTGTCTGCACATAATAACTGAGTGCCTACTAAGTGCCACACACTGGGTTAAACCTTCTAGCAACTCTTTGACCTCACTGAGGAAATCAAGGCTCGCAGGGATGCACTGATTTGTCCATAATCACGGAGGTAGGAAGGAACAGAAAACCAGCATTCAGCCCAGGTCTGACTCCAAGCCCCTGCTTAGCCAAGGACTTCGTGTTCTTGAGGGAGAGGCTTTCTGCTCTATCACAGCACTAGCCTCTGCTCTGAACTTTGTTCTCATTCCCTGTGGTGTCACTGTTTTGGAGAACTGTACTTATCTGGATATAACCTAAGCCAGACCTGGAAGCCCTTTTAACTTCTTATTCTTCCTTAGCTCCTATTTGGTCAGAATGTCTCTCTCATAAATACCCCTCTAATCCACCTCTTTCTCTCTGTTATCCTACCATTCATTGTCTGAGTCCTGGCCACCCCATCTCACATGAATTGCTTTGAGTTACCTCTGCCCTGATGTCCCTGGCTCATCCTGCCCTCTCTTCCAATTCACTATCCATGTTGCAGCCAAAGTAATCTTTCTTAGGACTAAATCTGATATAATATTTACATAGAAATAAATAGGAACCAATTACTGATACATGCAACAACATGCATGATTTCTACAAACATGCTGAGTGAAAAGAAGTCAGAACATACTACAGAAACCACACAGAAACATGGTTTCATTTCTAGGAAACTGTACAAAAGGCAAACCCATCCCTAGTGAAACAAAGCAGGTAAGTTATTGTCTGGGAGCAGGAGGAAGAGGGGACTGACTCCAAAGGGGCACAAGGGAACTTATCTGATAGAAATATTCTCTATGTCAGCTGTGGCCATGATTCTACAAGTGTATATTTGTTAAATCTCAATGAACTGTACCATCAAAGGGATATATTTTATTGTATAAAAATTATACCTTAACAATTCTGTTTAAGAAAAAAGTAAATGTGGCCATGTCACATTCTTACCTAAACTTCCTGGTGCCTCCAAGTGGCTGTAAGGGTAATGCAAAACTCCAGAGCCGAGAACCCGACACCCTCCGTGACCCTGTCACAGTCCTACCTTCCAGGCTTACCTCTCAGCACTTCTTCAAACCCACCCTGTGCTGCACTGAATGCCCCTTCCCATGCTCCCTATCTGGGAAACAGACTCATCCTTCAGTTTGCTGAATGAGCCTCATGTCCCCCAGGGAGCATTCACTGAATGTTCCTTCCAGGAAGACTAAAGCACTTCCTTTTCCAGGTTCCCATTGCATTGCGTACTGACCTCAACTGCAACACTTCTTGCAGTACTGTAATTACTATTTACATGTCCTCATGCCTCATGCTTCCCAACTCCACTGTAGAGGAAACATCCCAAGATCAGAGACTGTGCTTTATTCATGTCTGTATCTCCAGTGTCTAGCACGAAGTAGGTACTCAGTCAAGTTTGCTGAAAATTAAATGAAGGACTCAACTTGTGCAAACTAAACTGGGCTATGCTCCTGACACTCCTCAACCCCAAGGCCCCCACTGAGGTGAGCCCTGATCATGTGAGGGTGGGCTAGACTAATACTTCTCCCTGCCACATCCCCTCAGGACCATACACTTGTCCTCACAAAAATCTGTTTAGTCTCCCACTGGTGGCAAATCATATTTAAATAAGGACCTAAGCGACAGAGATGGCAGTGGTTACCACCACAGTTTTGCTGTCATCAGGATACTTCCTCCATAGCCCTCCTCCAAATCTGCCCACCCGACTTTCCTAGAGTCTACTCACCAGGCATTCCAGGAGACGTGCTGGGCGGGCAATGACAATCATCAGCTTTTTCACCAGCTGCATCACAAAAGCCACTTCCGAGCTCTCTGAGCGCTCATGAGCCTATAGAGAAAAGAAGGGCTGCTTAAGCAATCTATTGGCCCAGTGTGGCTGGGCTAAGCAGGACCAGACTGGGCAGAGCTGAATCCAGGGAGAAACAATTCGGTAGCACAGAGAGCTCCGCCAAGCAAGGAACTCCAAGAAGGCTGGCTGGCTGTGAGACGGAGCGAGTTGCTCACAGGGAACCATTTGAGCTTTAGAACACTACATGACACCGAGAAATGCCACACAGACATACAGCTGTACCTGCTCCTCCATCCAACAAGCCTCACTTACCCTGCAGACCCCAGCTCAAGGGGCAACTCTCAATGGCGCCTTCACTGATGTTCACTTTCCACTCTAGACTGTAAGGAGCAGAAAGACCTCAAAGCTGAGGGTGATATGACCAGAAAGGTACTTCAGAAGGATCACTCTGGCTGCAGTATAGAGGGTACACTAAAGAGGGCAAGCCTAAATGCAGCAAAACCCACTAGCAGGCAACTCTAATAATTCAGATGAAAAAGGCATAGGTCGGCTGGGTGCAGTGGCTCACGCCTGTAATCCCAGCACTTTGGGAGGCCGAGGCAGATGGATCATGAGGTCAGGAGATCGAGACCATCCTGGCGAACACAGTGAAACCCCGTCTCTACTAAAAATACAAAAAAATTAGCCGGGCGTGGTGGCGGGCGCCTGTAGTCTCAGCTACTTGGAAGGCTGAGGCAGGAGAATGGCATGAACCTGGGGGGCGGAGCTTGCAGTGAGCCGAGATGGCGCCCCTGCACTCCAGTCTGGGCGACAGAGCAAGATTCCGTCTCAAAAATAAATAAATAAATAAATAAATAAATAAATAAATAAATAAATAAATAAAAGAAAAAGGCATGGGTCAAGGCAGAAGAATGCAGACAAAGGGACAGGTGTGAGCTACTACCAAAGCAGATAAGGGTGAAAGCAGCACAAACAGAAGGCAACTCCAACTTCAATTTTAGGAAAATTTCAATGAATACGTGAAATAGTAACTATAAGAAGCCATTTAGGTGATAGGTAAAGAATGTACTGCATTTGGTTTTAGAGAAAGAACAGCTAGGCAGAAAAGATAAGCTCAGTTCTGGGCGTGTAGAGTTTCAGGCACCTATATGAGAGAGTCTCTTGGGTATCTGCTTGGTCCAGGGGCCTTTCTCTTTTTCCCTGAGAACTGCTCTGGTTTCTAGGAGCCACATTTGTACTGTGTGTCTGCGCCTTCCCTCCCACCTCTAATAGCTGACCAGGGAGGATCACTTTCCTAGGAATTTAAAAAAGGATAGAAAGATAATTGTTAACATCAGTGTGGCAGAAACTGTTTAAGAACTGTGACAAGGGATGGCCGTACCTACCATGGAGACAGAGAAAAGATGCATACAGGAAAAGAAAGAATGAAGACTTCCTGAGCTTCCTGGAGCTTCTGGTTTCTAGTTCTGGTTCCTTTTTAAGGTCTGGTTATATCCCTCGCTTCAATTCTCTAAGACCTACCCCTTTTACTCTTATAATGTTTCCCTTTACTGTTTAAACTATTCTGAGTCAGATTTCTATTACGTGTAACCAAAGAATAAGAACCAATATGGGGAAGTCAAAGTGGAGGAGTCCACTAGGCAGCTGGGTGCACTGATCTGAAGCTCAGGAGAACAGTAAGAGTGGCAGCCACATGTGGAAGTCCTCAGCGTAGCGATGACAACTGAAGACATGGGAGCAGGTGGCAAGACATCAGAGAGAGAGTGGAAGAAGGGGAAAGGGGAAAACAGGCATGCAGGATGGTGCCCTGTGACACACCAGTATGAAGGGGTGGGCAGCAAAGGAACTTGTGAAGAGGCAGCAAGACTGGTGAGAACGGTGAATTGACAACTGGGGAAGGGAGTTCAGGAAGTATCCGCTGTGCTCCACAGGGAGGTGGCAGAAGATGGGAACTGAAAGCAGACACAGGATTTGGCAATTGGCCAGTGAGTTCCTTGATGAATTTTGCCTGAACAGTTTTGGTAAGGTGGGAAGGGAAACCAGAAGGCAGAAGATTGAGTAGTAAATAGGATACAAGGAAAGAAAAACAGTAAATGAGGACTTTTCTTTTTTTAAAGTATTGGTTATGAAATGAAGAGAAAGGATGAGCGGTTGGTGAAATCCCATTTATTCTTTTAAAACCTGTCTCCTGTTCCCAACACACATATACATACATATGTGAAGAAAAAGAAGTAATTGCTGTCTTTAACGTGTTCTCCTGGCTGTTCGTGCATACCACATGGTACTGTCATGCTGTTTCATAACGAGCTGTCTGTCTCTACAGCTACACTGCTGGGCCTAGTGAGTAAAGAGGCTCTGTGTCTTTTTCTTTTTCTTTTTTTTTTTTTGAGACAGAGTTTCGTTTTCATTGCCCAGGCTGGAGTGCAATGGCTCGATCTTGGCTCACCGCAACCTCCGCCTCCCAGGTTCAAGCGATTCTCCTGCTTCAGCCTCCCGAGTAGCTGGGATTACAGGCATGTGTCACTATGCCCAGCTAATTTTGTATTTTTAGTAGAGATGGGGTTTCTCCATGTTGGTCAGGCTGGTCTGGAACTCCCGACCTCAGGTGATCTGCCTGCCTCAGTCTCCCAAAGTGCTGGGATTACAGGCGTGAGCCACCGTGCCTGGCCCTTTTTCTTTCCTCAAATGCTAAGCCTAGCAGAGTGCCTCCTAGACAGCAGATGTCAGTCAGTGTTTGTTGACTGTTTGAAAATGTATGCTCTTAGGCTCTGGAATAAGCCAAACCTGGGACTGGGTCCTGGTTTTGCTACTTAAAAATATAAGTTATCTTGAGCTAACTTAGTTTCCTCATCTGTAAATTTAGGAAATAATATTAAGTACCTTCCTTACAGGGTTGTGAAGATTTCATCAGATAAATTAAACGAGGTAATGTAGTGTCTAGCATGTATTAAATGCTCCATAAATGTTACTGATTTTTATTATTCTAAAATCTGACCAGGTCATTTTTCAGTTTGTCACACTGGATGATACCCACTGCCTTCATGATACAATCTAAGCTTCTCACAAGGCCCTTCAGCATCTGGCCCCCAGTCCAACTCTTCAAATTCATCTGCCAGCAGGTCAGGTGCAGTGGCTCACACCTGTAATCCCCGCACTTTGAGAGGCCAAGGCAGGGGGATCACTTGAGATCAGGAGTTTGAGACCAGCCTGGCCAATGTGGTGAAACCCTGTCTCTACTAAAAATACAAGTTAGCTGGGCGTGGTGGCAGGCACCTGTAATCTCATCTGCTAGGGAGGCTGAGGCAGGAGAATTGCTTAAACCTGGCAGGTGGAGGTTGCAATGAGCCAAGATCGCGCCACTACACTACAGGCTGGGTGACAGAGTAAGACTCAATCTCAAAAAAAGAAAAAAAAAAAAAAAAAAAATCATCTGCCAGCTTTTCCCCTGTGGGTGTCTTTCTTTCTTTTCTTTTCTTTCTTTTTTTTGAGATGGAGTTTCGCTCTTGTTGCCCAGGCCAGAGTGCAATGGTGTTATCTTGGTTCACCACAACCTGCACCTCCGGGTTCAAGCAATTCTCCTGCCTCAGCCTCCCTAGTAGCTGGGATTACAGGCATATGCCACCATGCTCAGCTAATTTTGTATTTTTTGTAGAGCCGGGGTTTTCTCCATGTTGGTCAGGCTGGTCTTGAACTCCCGACTTCAGGTGATCCGCCTGCCTCGGCCTACCAAAGTGCTGGGATTACAGCATGGGCCACCATGCCCGGCTCCACTATGAGTGTCTTTTACTGTAGTTATGCAAACTACTTCATCTGCAATTTCTGGAATGTACCAAGTTTCTTTACACCTTTGAGAGGTTACTTATTTAGTTATTAAGAGACAGGGTCTCACCCTATCATTCGGGTTGGAGTACAGTGGCACAATAACAGCTCACTGCAGCCTCGACCTCCAGGGCTCAGGCAATCCTCCCACCTCAGCCTCCTGAGTAGCCTGGATTACAGGTGCATGCCACCATGGCTGGCTAGTGTAGAGATGGGGTCTCACTTTGTTGCCCAGGCTGGTCTCAAGCTCGTGGGCTCAAGTGATCCTCCCACCCTGGCCTCCCAAAGAGCTGGGATTACAGGCATGAGCCACTGCGCCCAAGTAAGAGGTTGTTTATGCTTTTTCCTAGCTTCAGTGAACTCCTATCTGTTTAAGATTTAGCCTTCCTTGAACTTTCCACAAAGAGTCAGCATATCCTTCTCTGTGCTCAGAACCTACTTATCTCTAGTGCTCATCAATCATATTGTACTGTAGTCAGTGGAAGTGAGAGAATTCATATAAAGTATTCAGTGTAGTAATAGCTGTTACTTTTATTAAGTACATGTTGATGGGTCTGTAACCCCATTGATGGCAAATTCCCTAAGATAGAGCCTGCACTGAATTCTTTTCTGCATTCCAAAGGCCTCGCAAATTAGGGAACAGATGAACAAACTGGTTCCAAATTCAGTGCTCTTCTTATTGTATCAAACAACCTAACTGCACAAGCAGTCAGTCTGGGAAAATGCCTAAAGGTTTTGAGCAAGGCTCTGACTTCAGCATTTTAGAAGATAAATCTTAAACGTACCAGGAAACTTGGAAGTTACTCTACATTAATCCTTTACCGAGTGCAGTAATCCCTGATTCCTAAATGTCTCTGGGGTGCCCCTTTCCATTGCTGGAAAACTGTCAGAAAGCTTTTCCTGAACAGAAACAAACATCTACCAGCGATTTTCACGGGACTCTGGCTTTCTAAAGTTATACTTCTACAATGTTTGATTTTAAATATTTATTTTGAAATCAGAAAAAGATATTTTTGTAGAAGGAAGTACTTTTTCACCTATTAAATCAAAATCTTCCTTCCTGTAACTCCTGCCCACTGGACTAATTATGTCTTTCAGGGGTACTGAGAACAATCTGCTCTTTTTTATATATGAGAAACTTTCCACTACTTGACAATAATCATTTCTCTAGATTGAACTGTTCCCTGAAAATGTGTTTAAACTCCCCGCTCCTTCTTATTTCTAGACGAACACACTGATGTCCTTTTGGTCATCAGCCCGGAGCCCTCAGCTCAGTCGGTACTACTCCAGAGAGAGGTCTTGGTCTGGAGGCAATAAGGGGTTCTGGACTGGGCAATTCTCTAGTGACATGATGAGCTCTGGGGACACAGGCACATCCTCTCTCCCCCAAACCGTATTAATGGGTAACATGGAGCCGCTATGGTCTGAGTGAGATGGCATCTGGCCACCTTAATCAAGAGGCCGATAGCAAAGGAAGCGCTAGTGCAGGAAGCAGTGCTTAAGAACTCTCATGTGCTTTGGTCTTGGCCATCTCTAGCTTACTTTACCTTTAGCCTCCCAGAGATTTTTTCACACCAGGGAGGATCAGGTCTCAAAACATGTAAGTCCTAACTAGAGAACTCTCCATGTAAATGGCTAAACCCATCACGCAAGCCTCATACTTGTTTTCCCTTGGCTGAGGATAAACAGTCTGAAGGCTCTGCTTAAACCAGTATTTCCAGTAGAAGAAAGCCCATCATAGCCACTGGAGCCACTTTTTGGCTTTGGGCAGCAAACCTCCTAGTCAAATACTTATGAGTACTACCCATGGTGGAGCTTCGCGCAGAGTGATACAACTTTGGATTTAGAAAAGGAACACAAGTGAGTTCCTTTGATACCAAGCAGGCTTCTCTCACTATTGCAGGGGACTGAGGAGGAATCTAAGCCCCTCAGCTCTGCCTTTGAGGGTGGGTAAGAAGCAGTCTGTGAAGACTGAGAATACCACTAACGCCCTGATCCTAGCTTGGGATTATGAATCCAATACCAGGTAGAGGTTTTTTCAGAATCCCAGCACAAGGACACTCACATCTTGTACAAGTTTCTCCAAATTCTCTTGAAGTTCATAGAAGTATTGTGATGTAATGAGGCCACTCCGAGATTTATCCAGGCAGTCTCGGGCCATCTCAATCACCTGATGATGAATAAAGCTCAGGGCTCCATCCGCCAAGGGCAGCACGCTGTCTGGGGTATTGGAGGAAATAAACTCTGCTAGTCGTTCTTCCATTTGTGCGGTGGCCTGGGAAGAAAAGCAAGAAACACACACTTCCCTTCTAGTCCCAGCTCAGTTGGAGCTAAGCCTGAAGGACCTGGAAATAGCAAAATAATGGGCTCCCTGTGATCCTGGTTTCCTTACACGGCATTTGGGAAACCTGATAACTGAAGACATTAATAGATCACCTTCAAGTAAAGTCAAGTCAAGATGCCTTAGCTTTATACTCAAGGCCCTCTTTCACCTGGCCTTGCCCATCTCCCCCAGCTCCCTCCAGGGCAAGCTCTTTTGCTGTAAGGACACACAAGTGTTTGCTATCTTCCTCCTTTACTATGCTATTTCACGCCTGTCTGTTTATGCTGTTCCCTGTGTATGGCTTTTTCACCCTGCCAAGCCTGCCTGGCAAACTAATTCTCCTTCTCATCTCAGTTCAAGTATCGTGTCTCCTCTGGGAAGTCTTTCATTTCCCCAGGCAAACGGGTTTCCATTCCTCTGTTCTTCCACTGGACCTCCCAACTGTGTAAACTTTGTATATGGGCACTGCTGGTTTCTAAACTAGGAAGTTCTTTAAGTCAGAGAGAGTTTCATTTATCTCAGGATCTTCTTACTTAACCTTAGGACCCAAAGGAGTTAGGCAGGTGCTTGGAGAGCTGCTTAGTGAACTTGTCTGGTCACAGATGGTGAGTTGGAATGGGGGGACTGTGGATAGGAACATAACCCTGGCCTGGATCCCCAGCAAAGGCGAATGGAGGTCTGACTCCAAACCTCTAGGGACCTAACTACGCGGTCATGTCAAAACGACAAATACACATCTGTGAACGAGTTCTCAGCTGCCTATCTAAGACTCTGCCTTACTTCTTTGCTACCAGGTGGTGATTTCTGATTTCCAGTGTGTGTTTAGGTGAATGTATACTTACATACATATATATGTGCTATGTCTACGTGGAGAATGAAAGAGGAAGAGGTGAAAGAGTGGGAGTAGAGGAGAAAGAAGGAAGTGAAGGAATCTTAACACATTTTCTCCAACAATAGTTCATTCTATAGGAAGGAACTGGAAACATGCCTATAAACACAAACATCCAATACTACAAAAACACCTAATATACAAGGAGGAGGAGGGCAAGCATGAGATACATTTCTCAACATTATATACTCCCAAACTTCATAAACACCAAGTACATCAAAATGAATTCCTAGCTATTTGTTCTGCCTCCTTCCTCACGTTTATTGTCTAGTGCCACTCCAAAGCTGGAAAGCACAGACCATGGGGCCCAGGTTCTACAGTCTAGTATCCCTTCTCAGTCAGGAACAGGGCCTATCTTCAGAAGGCCAGGTCAGAGTGTACAGGCATGTGGTGTTGAAAAAGACATGCAAATGGGGCCGGGTGCAGTGGCTCATGCCTGTAATCCCAGCACTTTGGGAGGCTAAGGCAGGTGGATCACCTGACGTCGGGAGTTCGAGACCAGTCTGGCCAACATGGCAAAACCTGTCTCTACTAAAAATACAAAAATTAGCCAGGCGTGGTGGTGCATGCCCATAGTCCCAGCGTCTCAGGAGGCTGAGGCAGGAGAATTGTTTGAATCCCGGAGGCGGAGGTTACAGTGAGCTAAGATGGTGCCACTGCACTCCAGCCTGGGCGATAGAGCAAGACTCCATCTCTTAACAGAAAAAGAGACATGCAAATGGGAAACAAGATCCTAGTTCCATATACAAGGAGGTTCACAGCCAAGCAGCAGAGTTATGACTGCTACTTCTCAGCTATCTCAGGATACCAACCTACTTTCCTCCCTAAGGATTTTCCTGCTTGAAAATGAAAATTCAAATGGTAGCAAGCAACTCTGAGATCTGTCTCCCACTCCTACTGCTCTCTCTGGCCTTCTTGCCAGTGCAGCCTACTTCTGTCTGTGTACTCTCTGACACCTGGTAATGAGGTGCTGCTTAAGAAATCTCTATCAAATGCCGATGCCACCAGAGGGCAAATCCTGTAATGAATGAACCCTGACTCATGGATCCTCATATGCACAGTGAGAAGTAAAGCCTCCAGTTCTTTCTTTCCTCTTTAATATATGGTGGGATACCTTTCTGACATTCCCCTCTGGATAACTCTACTTCCGGGGAGTGAAGAAACAAAGGCTCTGCAAATACAGTTTCCAAACTCATAGTTTCCTGCTGTCTCCTTCTCAAGCAGTCTGGAAGCCCTTGTTGCTGTGTCCACAGCCTCCTGGCTGACTTTCTGTCCTTCTTGGTTATCTCTGGAGGTAGCACTTCATTCCCTCACTCCAGAGTCTTCCCAATGGGGCTGGCTGTAGGCAGCCACCCTGGGGGGCACTGCTACTCTCCTTTTAAATGGATCCTTACCTTTGGGAATCTTTCTTTGTACACATGATTCATCATTATTATTTCACTGTCAAAGGAGACTGGGGATCGTCCAGGACTAAAAAAAGAAAAGAAATGATTGTGTTACTTTAGGGCTATGGAACTATCAAGGAGAAAGATGGCCATCCCCAGAGACCCTGCCCCTCCCATCATCTTCAGCAGCCTACACATTTCCACCTTAATGGGTACTGAGTTCTAGAGCCTTTCTTATTCCTGGAGTTTTCAGTGTACCTTGTTCAGTTCAAAATGGTACTATATGGAGCTAGGCTTGGTTTTCACAAAGACCTCTTCCAGGCTAGAAAGACCTAGAAGGGACCTACTCCTAAGCTCACTGGTGGCTTTCCCAGGATAACCTTCCCCAGAGTAGGATTCTGTGTCCTCTTAGTTTTGGCCAATAGGGTTGGGTGTGCCCCAGCATATTCTTGGGAACAAAGCAAATTAAAAAACTACCAAAGCAACCAAAGGAAGACGGTGCACATGTACATTTTTTTCCAAACTAGCTGCAGCCAGTGGACCTAACTTAGGGATGAATGAGGCCAGTTCAGACTGTTGTGAGTTATACATCTGGGTCATTTACTGAAGGGAGCCAATATGTTTTCTGCTTTAATTTATTATCTTCCCTGATAACCTAAATCTCCCCCTCTGGCTCATGTGTGGTTATATCTCCTTAAAAAATTTCAAAGTTGGAGCCACATAGTTGAACGGATATGTGGGTCTTGCCCAGTTTACTGCCCCTGACACATGATCCCAGATGTGCTAGGCCCACAACTGTCCCACTCTGTCTTTCTTCCCTGGAATGTGCCATGTTGTGCCTGCTGTACTGCTGCACATTACCAAGGATTTAAGAGTAATATACCAGGGATTTCTCTGAGCATCACTGTAGGCCTCTCAATCTCAACTGGCCTAAAAGGTACCCTTCTCTGTGCATGGGTTGAGACCACCAAGACTCAGATGTTCCTCTGTGAGACAGAGAAAGGCACTGGAGATTCACACCTGCTCGTTTGTATGCTTGATCCTTCACACTTAAGCCCCAGATACCATCTTCATCAGTCTCTGAACCTGAACCAGTCATCGTGGTCTGGCCCAGCTTTCCTGTCACACCCGGTGCAGTGCCAGCATTACCTGAGGGGATTCTTTCTGGGAGGAACTGCTGCTCCTCTGGGATCCTGCCCTGCACATATTAGCCAATCAATTACTTCTCAGGGACCCTGCAATACTGAGCTCAGTCATTAAAGTCATGTTCATTTGAATCTCCATCATCTTCCTTAACCTAACATTCTGGCACTGATTTACTAGCTAACGCCAAGGAGAATCAAAAATTAATCAGCAGCTGTTAAGGTTTGTTTGGTTTGATGAACATGTGCCCAGGTGATTCACAGAATAAAGACAGATTCAAATGGCATTTAATTCTGCTTTTGAAATGGGCTTCTTCCCCACGCCAGCAACCTGTCTTCAGCAGCAACTTTTTCAGCTGGCCTAGATCATACACCCAGGGCCAATGGGTTCTGGAGCCAGATAACCATCAGAATTGATGATACTATTGTTCTCCTTTTACCAGATGTAATCTAAAGTATATTTCTGCTGCTAACTACCCTTAAACAGAACAAAAGAGGGATCAGTTGACAGTATTGCTAAATACCTCCTGGGGTGATGGGTTGAGCTGTACCTGAAGCCAAAAAGAGCTTGGGCTTTACTGAACTTGACTCACTGAAGCTGGCCAATGTATTATGCCAGGGGTAGCAAACTACAGCCTGCAGACCACCTATGGCCTAATACTTTTTTTTTTTTTTTTTTGGTAAATAAAGTTTATATATTATTTGTGGATACTCACTACAACAGCAGAGTTGAGGAATGTGACCGAGATATATGACCTATAAAGCCTAAAACTATTTACTGTCTCAGCCTCCCCGAGTAGCTGGGATTACAGGCACCTGCCACCATGCCCGGCTAATTTCTGGTCTTGTTTTTTTTTTTTTTTTTTTTTGGTAAATAAAGTTTATATATTATTTGTGGATACTCACTACAACAGCAGAGTTGAGGAATGTGACCGAGATATATGACCTATAAAGCCTAAAACTATTTACTGTCTTGGCCCTTTATAGCACAAGTGTGCCCACCCCTGTGCTACGCAAATGAGCTGAAATCCACATGCACTGGGACAGTGGGCAGACAGCACTCTCACCTGAGGCTCCGGGAGCGGGGCCGCATGGCTGGGGACTGCCGTCCCTCCTCATCTGGTACGCTCTCTGTGCTGAAATGCTTCGTTAAAAAGTGCAGCTCATCAGCTGTAGGCTGGAAAGGCAACTGATGCAGCTTTTCCTGTGAGGAGCATGATGACTAGAAGGGAAAACATTAAGAAGTGGCATTAAAGACATGTCCCAGAGCAGTCCACTAATGGAGAAGGACTGAAAATGGTCAGGGAACTTCCCAGTCACTATAAACCCAAAGCAGGTCTTCTTTCCTCCACTCCCTTAGCCTTGTCTGTGCTTGATCCTGTTCTTTTCCAGCGCTTCAGAGCCCTCAGCCCTGAGGAACCCAATATACTGGAGTCCTTCAAGGATTGTGCAGGGAGTTGGGCCCAGACCTTCATGGAATTTTAGAACTGCAAAAGTAGTTAATAAATCATGCTTCCTCACTTGGGACATGTTCTAGGTATGCCCAGCTGCGAATAACATCCTCTTACGTTCTCCCTTCCACAATCTTGAGAGAGCCACCCTGGGGGCAGCTCAGCAATGTTTCCTTTTGGCTGGTATCTGAAGAAGTGCCTTTTCTGGGGTTGTAAAGGCTGTGCCTAGACTCATGCTGGCCACTGTATTACGCCAGGGGTTAGCAAACTATAGCCTGCAGACCAGCTATGGCCTGGTGTCCAGCAGGTAAGAAAATCCAGCAGGGAAGAAAATTGCTTTTACATCTGGACCCAAAGATTAGGCTTGACCTGAAAACACTCATGAATTCTAAACATGGCTCAGTGACTAAGGACTCCTCACAACAGCACTGCCAGTCTCAACAGGCCATCTGAGGGAGGGTGCTCGGCTATCACAGGACTTCCACAGGTGCAGCTAATGCTGAAGCACCCATTCAGCCCCAGGACTGGGGAACTCCCCCCATTACCTGACAAGACTGACAAAGAGAACAGGCAAGTTAAACATTGTCAGCCCAAGTTCTATTTACCAAACTGATCACTGATCTGGGGTTTTGTTTTTGTTTTTGTTTTTTGAGATGGAGTTTCGCTCTTGTTGCCCAGGCTGGAGTGCAATGGCATGATCTTGGCTTACTGCAACCTCCGCCTCCCGGGTTCAAGCGACTCTCCTGCCTCAGCCTCCTGAGTAGTTGGGATTACAGGCATGCACCACCATGCCTGGGTAATTTTGTATTTTTAATAAAGACGGGGTTTCTCCATGTTGGTCAGGCTGGTCTGGAACTGCGACCTCAGGTGATCTGCCTGCCTTGGCCTCCCAAAGTGCTGGGATTACAGGTGTGAGCCACTGTGCCCGGCCTGTTTGTATTTTTTTCAGAGACAGGATTTTGTTCTGTTGTCCTGGCTGGAGTGCAGTGGAGTGATCATAGCTCACTGCTGCCTCAAACTTCTGGGCTCAAGTGATCCTCATGCCTCAGCTTCCCAAGCAGCTGAAACTGCAGGTGCATGACACCATGTCCAGCTATTTTTTTTTTTTTTTTTTAATAAAGTGACAGGGTCTTGCTGTGTTGTCCAGGCTGGTCTTTTGGAACTCCTGCTCTGACCTCCCAAAGTGCTGAGATTATAGGCCTGAGCTACTGCTTCCAGAGCCAGGGTTTAAATATCTAAATTCATTTAAGAATCAAAGCTAGGTCAGGCGCGGTGGCTCACACTTGTAATCCCGGCACTTGGGGAGGCCGAGGTGGGTGGATCACGAGGTCAGGAGATCAAGACCATCCTGGCTAACACAGTGAAACCCCATCTCTACTAAAAATACAAAAAATTAGCCGGGCGTGGTGGCGGGCACCTGTAGTCCCAGCTACTTGGGAGGCTGAGGCAGGAGAATGGCGTGAACCCAGGAGGCAGAGCTTGTAGTGAGCCGAGATCGCGCCACAGCACTCCAGCCTGGGCGACAGAGCGAGACTCCGCCTCAAAAAAAAAAAAGAACCAAAGCTAAAGCACCACACTGAGACAACTCTGTTGTCACAGGCTTAATAAACAAGTGAGAAATCAGCATTTCTTTTTGGCTAACAGTGCACATTTTCTCTCACAGAATGCTATAATACATGAAGTTATAAACAGCTAGTGAGATGTCTCCATAGGGTTATTTCTTGGCCACATTTTAATAAATGATTTGGATAAACTTGTAAAAAGTATTCTTACCAGCTATAGCTAACATGAAACTAGTGAGGCAGTGTAAACTACAGTGGGCAAAACTGGTATTTTAAAGAATCCTAATAAACTGGAGCAATGAGTTAAGTCTATTAAAATTTGCAGAAAAGGAATATTTATACACAGATGAGACTTACCTTGGTTCTAAAAAAAATCACTTGTTTGAGTAAAGAGTTATGGAAAAGGGGATTTTTTTTTCTTTTTTTTGAGACGGAGTCTTGCTCTGTTGCCCAGGCTGGAGTGCAGTGGTGTGATCTCGGCTCACTGCAATCTCTGCTCACTGCAATCTCTGCCTCCTGGTGGTTCAAGCGATTATCCTGCCTCAGCCTCCCAAGACGCTGGGACTACAGGCGCCCGCCACCACGCCCAGCTAATTTTTTGTATTTTTAGTAGAGATGGGGTTTCACCATGTTAGCCAGGATGGTCTCGATCTCCTGACCTTATGATCTGCCCACCTCAGCCTACCAAAGTGCTGGGATTACAAGTGTGAGCCACCGCGCCTGGCCTGGAAAAGGGGATGTTTATTAGGGAAAGACCTTAAACTTAATAGCTGCCAAAGACCAGTGACATCTTTGGATTAGTGTGATAGTAATATCTAGGTTGGAAGAGGAAATATACTCCTTTTCCCTGCTCGAGATTCAGGAATAAAGGCACAATGAGCAGGGAAGACCTGAAGAATGCTGCAAGCAATGGGGATGGGGTCAGCAGGTCTACGGCCTGCTTCTGTATGGCTTGCAAAGACTAAAACATTTACTCTACATTTGGCCCTTTACAGAAAAAGTTGGCCAAGCTTGTAACTGTGGTTTTAATAAAAAGTTGCTCGGTTGGGTGTGGTAGTTCACGCCTGTAATCCAAGCACTTTGGGAAACCAAGGCAGATGGATGGCTTGAGCCGAGGAATTTGAGACCAGCCTGGGAAACATGATGAAACCCCGTCTCTACAAAAAATTAGCCTGCTACAGGGTGGGCATGCCCCTTCAGTCCCAGTCTACTCAGGAGGCTGAGGTGGGAGGATCATCTGAGCCTGGGGAGGTTGAAGCTGCAGTGAGCCGTGATTGCGCCACTGTACTCCAGCCTGGCCAACAGTGGCACTCTGTTTCAAAAAAAAGGTTGCTCAATGAGGGCTTACTTAAGGGTCAATTGTGCATAGCAGCAATTAGTACAGCTCTTGTGTTTTTAGGCTAAAACATTCTCCATAAGAAACGTTTTAGAGACAGGTCCAGCTTTTTGCTTCATACACATCAAACTTGGATATCAAATAACAATCACTTTTCCCTTCTTTTTTGAAAGAAAAAGGCAAAAAAGAGAGGAGAGTCTACCAAGTGTTTCGGATATGAGAAAGGTGATCTATCTGCTCTTGGTTCCAGTTCTAGAAATAAGAATGGAGGAGTAGGAGAAGTGTGCTTAGGAGCCCCCATACCTGGTCTCACTGTCAAAGCAAAAGTTCATCCTCAAGCTCTCCTCTGCCTCCACTAGATGTAACTGATTCCCAGAGAGGGCACTGGTCATCCTTTCTGAAGGCACTTATGGAGCTAGCTATGGTTGGGAAGGGACACCAGCCCTCTGTTGCACCCAACATCATCTCTAAGCAACCTCTTTGAGTTTGACTTTGGAGAAAAACTTGACAACCATTTTGTAACACTAGATAACCCAAAGGGAAGTACTTCCTCAGGGTGAAGGAAGTATGACCACAGATTTGGCTACTTACTGAGACAGTGGAGCTAGGAGTGTTAGTTCCATATCCTGAAGAGGGCAAAGAGGCCAAAGACCAGCGCCGCCCATCAGTCCTGTATGCAAGAAAAAAGTATTAGGTAGTTTCTACAGGACTACACCCTGACCCACAACCTGCCTGTCTGTCCATCAGCATTTGGGGGCAGTTGATTCACTGTAGGGCTCCTCTTTAAGACATTACTGCTCAATCCAGTACATGCTTTTATCGCTCTCTCCTACAGAGGGCTTATTGTTGTTTTCCCTGAAAAGACAGACATCTCTGACTATAAAATAGTCCATGACTTTGTATAACAGAAGAACATCTGTCATATAACACTGTGGTTTTGGAATAAACATTTTCATACTCTCAACTTACTTTCATAGAAACAATGACAGAGGATTCCAGCTACAGGCAACATCACAAGATAGAACTGCCACTGAAATGCAGCTATTTCTGTTTGTGAAGGCTCCATATTAAGGGTTCTTTGGTCTTCCCCAGGCCACTGGCTGACAACAGGAAGAAGTGGGCCACCATCTGGGTCTGAACTGAGCTAATCAATGGGAAATAGTTATAGGCTGCCTAGGGGCCATTAGGACTCATAAAACCAATCTTTGGGAATGTTTGTTCAAGAGTGACAGTAACTTTATGAAAGAGGAGGAAGGTGACATACCCTTAGCTGTATAAGAGGCTTTGGGGGAGGCTTCCTGCTGCTCTCAAAAGGATGCTCCCCAAAGCTCTCATGAAAACAAACAACCCTCCCCACACACACACAGTTATCTGCTTTACTGTAGAGGGGAAAGATCAAGCAAGGATCTAGTTTGAAACTTTTATAACATGAACGTGTGATCCTTTGCTTGGACTGTGGGATGTGGTGTATTCTTTTTTGTAGGGCTTAAGGGTACAGCCTGCTCTGGTTGAAATTAGATACTTTTTTTGCTGCTACTCATGGAACCTTAGACTATCAGCAATGGAGGATCTTTATAAGTTCATATTACAATTTACAGAGAAAACACTAGGATCCCGAGATTTGGGTGGTTTGTTCAAGGCTTCATGGTTATGGCAGGGACAGGGAGAGGAAGAAGCAAAAAGGAATACATCTTGCTGGGGCTTCTCCCTTCAAAGCACTCCTCCCCACCCTCACCAATACCTAGCAGCTTTTCTACTCCATTCTCTAAGGGGTGAGTCGAAGGTTCCATGCCACATGCATATGACTCAAACTTCATGCCACCCTGGCAGCAGCACATATAGGCTATAACTCTGCTGGAACCTAGTCTCTGAGGTTCAGACATGTCCAGGAAGGTGCTCAGACATCATGTTCTCTCTGACCTCTTTGCTGGGTCCTGGGAGCACCACACAATAAAGCAAGCTGGTTCCAGGACACAGCTCAGCAACAATGAGACAAGTATAACTCAGGGTTGGTTTTGCCAAACCCTTGTCAAATACACTTTTGCACATGTGAGTTTTCCTCCCCTTAGATAAAAATGAAAACCAGTTGCATGGCAGCTATTTCTCTGTATAATGAACAGCAGGGGCCACCAGAGTCAGGAAGAAATGCCACCCCATGATGCCTCTATTTCCTCTATCTGGTCACCGCAGTACCTGACTGTGTAAAGTTGTGGGAATAAGGATGACTTGTCCCTAAGCTCAGAAGTTTGGAACTATTCAGCTATTCCTGCATCCAAGCACATGAGCTCTGAGCCTTGGTTCCAGCAGGTAGAGGGAGATCCCTTTGGGCCTCTTTGCAAGATATGAAAGGCCCAATGTTCATACCCAGTCAGAGAAGAATCATCACAACCAGTTTTCACCAACCACAACATCACAAACCATATTGTCTGGCCATGCATAGCAGTTTCCCAGCCCCTCTCCCCATTATACCCGCTATTACCTGTCAGCTCTGTGGCTATGGCTGTAGTAAAAAAATACACATTACAGTGAGAACCAAAGGAACCAGAGAGAGTAATCTTTTTGAATCTTGGTATTTGGTCTAGCTTGGCACATTCCTTCTGTTTAGGAATGTGTGATAGTTTGAAGTGAAATTGTAGGACCAATGGGTCTATCCTTAGTGTTCAATCTGTCTTTTGTTTGATATTGCAAACCAATGTGATCCTCCAAAGCACCAGCCAGTAACACAGAAACAAACAATTCCTGATACTCTGTTTGGCAGGGTTGAAACACTTCTCCCCACCCCACCAATAACCAGCAGCTTTTCCTACTACGTTCTATAAGAGGACAGCCCAGAGATCCATGTTCCATGCACATGACTCAAATGTCATGCCACTTAGCACAGACCTGTTTGTGTCTCAGTGGTAAAAAAACAGGCCCTGAGGCCTCCCAGTTGGTCCTACTCCCAAACCGAGGCAATGAAACAGACCCACGGTATCAATGGAACAGGCTGTTCCCTCTGCCTAGAATGGTCTGCACACACCTGGGTCCTCACACTTAACGTGCCAGCTGCTTCTCACCCTTCAGAGAGGTTTTACATGGCCACCCAATGGAGGTTCTCTGGCCTTAGTCTCTTCCTGTTCTTTTTTTGTTTTGTTTTTTTTTGAGATGAAGTCTTACTCTGTCGCCCAGGCTGGAGTGCAGTGGCACAATCTCGGCTCACTGCAAACCTACCTCTCGGATTCAAGTGATTCTCCTGCCTCAGTCTCCTGAGTAGCTGGGATTACAGACCTGCACCACCATGCCCAGTTAATTTTTGTATTTTTAGTAGAGATGGTGTTTCACCATGTTGGCCAGACTGGTCTCAAACTCCTGACTTCAAGTGATCCACCTGCTTCGGCCTCCCAAAGTGCTGGGATTACAGGCGTGAGCCACTGCGCCCGGCCCTCTTCCTGTTCTTTCATGCAGCATCATGCTCTTTCCCTCTACGGTGCTTGTCATAATTTATATCCGTATACTTGTTTGTCCTTCTATCCCACTACTCATTTGTCTTCCCGCCAGGACACAGAGCTTTCAACAAATGAAGGTATCTCTATTAAAGGTGACTTGATCGTGGTTGAATTGAGACAGAAAATATGCAAATAAGAAAATATCAGGAACTGAAAAGTACTATTTTGAAAATAAAACTGGATGATTTGATGGAGAAAGACAAGAAGGCCCCTTTAGATTGAATGTTTAGGGAAGGCCTCTCTGAGGAGGTGACGTTTAAGATGAGATATGAATCATAAGAATGAGTTAGCTAAATGAAGATCTGAGGGAGCAGCAGTCCTTACAAAGGAAACAACCAGTACACAGACTCTCCTATATCGTGAGTTTCAGGGAAGTAGGGACTATGTCTATTTTGCTACCACTACATAACTCAGCACCCAGCCGAGTGTGCCTGGCTCTACGTGGTGGTGCTCAGCAAATATTTATCGAATGAATGAGAAGTAACTCGATGCCACCTATGGGGATCTGGCCACAGGTCTTGGTGTCCCAGCTCATACCTACTCTGAGAGTGCAGTTGATATACAGTCCAGGCAAGAAGTCTGGGGTAAGTCTTTCCACCTGGGTTGGAAAAACAAATACACCAATCCAGCATATTCTTACACTGTAAGTGATCTTATCTGGATCCTTGCTTAACAAATTGGAAGTTCCACAGGGTAGGAGAGATGAGCCCGTGGAACAACCCTGGATAAAATTTGTTTTGAATAAGGTAAGTGGGTTGAGGGAGGAAACCCAAATCAGTCATCAAACTTATCCCAACCTGTTCATGTTCTTTTCAGCCAAAAATAATCCTGGAAAGAGGATGGATTTCTTTTGGGTTATCATTGGAATAGTGAGTTAACACTGTTTCCAGGAGCCTCCCCTTTTCCTAATATGTCTTTTTTAAAAAAGTAGTCTAAGTATTAAAACTGTCCTGGCCTCCAGCTATATTACATTCTCCATCCATTAAAGGTTACAAATCTGGAACCATAATTTTCCTGGAGGTCTTATACTAGAGACTAACTCTAACAAAGAATAATGTTAAAAATTAAAAAATAAGATAAAATAAATATAAACTCTGGCAACAAATCTTAGAAAAGTTCTGACAAGAAACCACGTGTGTACAGAGCCTAGGTATGTGATTTGGATGGATTAATCTCATTCAGCTTTCTCCAAAGGCCTGATGATATTCCAGCCACAGGCAGAGCTGTCAGCATTGCTGCCCTGGGCCAGAGACAGGTTTGTATCACTCTCAAGAGGGGAGAAACATAGGAGGTGGACCATAAGCATGGCTTTGTATGCACCAAATCTTTCTAAATTCATGGAAGGAAAAGTGAAGTCCCTGTAGTCTCTTTATCCCCCAAACGAACTCCAGTTCAAAGTCAAGGAGAGAAGCACAGAGGGCCCTTCCAGCCACCTTAAACTAGCTGAGTTAGAGAGGACAAAGAGTGTAACTTTGGGTCCTCCTGGAGGAGAGCTTATTTTCTCATTGATCACTCTAGGACAGTTCTCAATTGAGAGTGTAATGCTTTGGAACATACCCGCAGGACATCACGGACTTAAAAAAAAAGTGAATTGTACAAATAAATCTACTTTTACTTAATATCTACTCTCCTGTTTAAATATTCAAACACAAATACATGGGGCACCTACAAAGCAAAACCAGAACACGATGACTACAACATGGGAGAGGAAAGCAAAGACAGAGTTTTGATGGATGGGAGCTTCAGGTAATACACTTGAAAGAATAGTGACACTTAAAGGAGGAATCTGACATTCAACTAACCCTCATGCAAGTGCCACAGGTGCTGGTCCCAGAGGAGGTTTTCTATCAACTTACCTACGGGCAGGAACAAAGGAAAAGTGAGCAGGTGCATTTGGAGAGAAATTCCGGGGGCTGTCCAAAGGACTGTTACCTGTTGATGGGAAAAGAAATGAAACTCTGTAAGGTTTGCTTTTGAGGAGGGCAGACATGACCTTCGGGCAAGAAATCTTCCCCTAGCACTGGCAATTATATGGTTATTTTCTCAGGGCCACTATCAGTTTAATGAGCTTCTGTAAAAGTTTCATAGCCCAGAGGTTTTCTCCCTTGTTCCCAAGTTTCCTATAACAACCCATGTCTCTCAGACAACCATTCTAGATCTAGCAGCAACTTGACTATTTCCTGCCCTCCTAGGAACACACCTGAGACTTCAATCTGTCTTGTCAAGTGAACCAACATTCAGAAGGCTTAAAGAGCTCATTCAGTACAGAGGGTATAGCCAAAGGTTCATGCTTTCTCAAAGGGCAATAGGACCCCAATCCAAGTTTCTTGAATATATATCTCTCTGTGCACTGTATCCAAGGGCTAAACCAGGAACATGTGTATTTTAAGGGGAAAGAGAAGTTATCAGGTAGGGACTCAGGACAGTAGTAAACCTTAAGATAGTTCATAATCAAGGCCCCCAAGTGTACAAAGCATACCACCACTTCTTATTAGTATTCACGTGCCCCTATAACTTGCTAACTTAAAGCTCAGAAGCTTTCAATAAAACTGTAAGTTTACCTTTGTACTAATCCCAATAGTTCTTAAACCTAAGCCTGCCATACTTCTCTGGGCTATCTTCTAGTTGGGGGCTGGTACATAGGAGCCCCTAGCTGGCAGTTGTTAATATGACTCTACTCAAAAGGCCATGTTGAAGTAAGCACCATACTCCATGCTGTGCTGGCACCCCTCTAACCCCTGTCCACCTCCTCACTGCTGTGCTTACCTCCCAGGGGCCTGGTACTTCAGCATGCGCTGGCTTTCTCTTGGATAGCATGTTTCCTGCACAGGGTATGGATGTTCCAAGTTGCCAAAAACCTACCCCTTTGTTTACCATTATCTCTATCCAATAGGGTTTATATAGCACGTAATGTCTTTTTATATTGATCTAGTACAAACCAGCCTCTCAATCAGCGCTCCTACTACCCTATGCAGCAGCACCTCTGTATCAATTATATAATGGCATTGTTTTTTGTTGAATGAGAAAGAGGCATCTTCAGCTTCTTCTCACCCCCAGGTGCATAAAATATACAACTTCATCCAGTGGATATGCTCTCAACATTGCATGAACTCTGGGTTTTCCATGCTTTGTGTGAGGACTATCTGTTATGACCTCTCCCCATCTTCTGGCTAGCGGGCACCAGGATATAAGGGAAGTGATCCTGAGTAGCTGTTTCCTTAGTCAGGACTTAATAAGGATCAGGTCTCCTCAGAAGCATCAAGGCTTATTTTTTAAAAACAATTTTATTCTTTCTTGATAGTGTCATCTCATGTCAAAGATTAACAAATATCCAGTTTGATTCTTGACATGCAAAGTCAGATGCCCTTTGTTGGTTCCCAAAACTACCCAGCTAAAGCCTCAAGGAGATGCCTGGACATGAGCATCCTACAATAACTAGCCTTCCAAGGATCGGTCTGGGTACAGAGGTACAAAGAACCTTCCAGGTGCTCATAGTAGGGCTAGGGTTACATAACACACACGTATGTCAGAAATAACTAACACCAAGAGGAAAAAAAATCGTCAAAAAAACTAAACAGCACCACTGAGCTGTAGGACAACTTCAAGTAGCGGGAGGGGAGAGAGGGGGATACAGAAAAAAGATAGGAAGAAATAATGACTGACAACTTTGCAAATTTGATAAAAACCATATACCCACATGTTGTGTGACAGGTTCTTTACCAGATTACTTAAAGGTACATATGTTCGCTGCCTGAAACTTGAAGGCTAGGCCCATGGCAATGGTACCCAGCTGAGGAGCAGGTATCCCTGAGAACCAACCAAACATCCTAGAGAGTATCTGAGAACCTCTCAAGAAAAACAGTATCACTGTTCAAACACAGTAGGCAAAGATCCAGAAGATTAGCTTAAAAGCAGTTTAGAGGGAGCCAGGCGCAGTAGCTCAGGCTTGTCATCCCAGTTTGGGAGGCTGAGGAGGGCGGATCACTTGAGTCCAGGAGTCCGAGACCAGCCTCAGCAACATGGCAAAGCACCCCATTTTTTTTTTTAAAGAAAAAAAAAAAATGCAGTTTAGAGACAGGAGGCAGCATGGCTCTCTAGAGCTGTCCCGCTGCAGTCCAGGAGTGCCTTGGATGTAAGCTGAATAAACTCATCTACTCATCAAGCTCAACTGTCTGAGTCATCCTTTGGTCTCATGGCTCCTTCCCAGTTTAGGTAGGACGTTGCAGCCTCAAGTTTTTCTTGTAACATCACAAATCTAAGATAATCTCTAAGAATCCCAAACATGAGAAAGAGGAAGAGAAGTACATCAAAGAATGTCATAGTCAAATCGCTCAAAACTCAAAATACAGAGAAAAATCTTAAGAGCTAGAGCCTGGTAGAGCTGGGTGAAGTGAGAAGATGATGTTATACAGAGGAACAAAGAAGGATTATAGCAGATTTCTCGTTGGAAACAATGCAAGAAGACGGCAGAGCAATATCTTTAAATTATGGAAGATATGGGCCAGGCGCGGTGGCTCAGGCCTGTAATTCCAGCACTTTGGGAGGCCGAGACGGGCGGATCACGAGGTCAGGAGATCAAGACCATCCTGGCTAACACGGTGAAACCCCGTCTCTACTAAAAAATACAAAAGGATTAGCCGGGCGTGGTGGCGGGCGCTGGTAGTCCCAGCTATTCGGAAGGCTGAGGCAGGAGAACGGTGTAAACCCAGGAGGTGGAGTTTGCAGTGAGCCGAGATCGCGCCACTGTACTCCAGCCTGGGCGACAAAGCGAGATTCCATCTCAAAAAAAAAAAAAAAAAAATTATGGAAGATATGGCTATTCTCCTGCCAACCTAGAATTCTAGACCCAGCTGTTGTGTAGTAACGAATCTGATTGGCCTTAGTCCCCAGTTCCTCGGAAGGAGCCTCTAAATCCTTGGAATTTCAAAACCCAAGTGATAGGAGTGCTTCTGTTATTCATGATGGGGCCTGATACTTTATGCTAATGATATAACTCAGAATGGAGGCTGGCCACACCTGAAAGACCAACCACGTAATTGGAGGGTTGGGGCTTTGAGGCTCACCTAGCATGAAGGAGTGCTAGCACTCACCTAGCACTTTGGGAGGCCCAAGCAGGCAGATCACCTGAGGTCAGGGGTTCAAGGCCAGTCTGGCCAATATGGCGAAAACCCATCTCTACTAAAAATACAAAAATTAACTGGGTGTGCTGGCACATGCCTATAATCCCAGCTACTCAGGAGGCTGAGGCAGGAGAATTGCTTGAACATAGGAGGCGGAGGTTGCAGTGAGCCGAGATCGCACCACTGCACTCCAGCCTGGCTGGGTGACAGAGTGAGACTCCGTCTCAAAAAAAAAAAAAAAAGAAAAAAAGAAAAAAAAGAGGGTTGGGGCTTTGAGCCACTTGCTATCAGTCTGACATAACCTGACTTCCCAGAAGTAGAGAGGGGCTAGATATTAAGTTTAGTCATATGGCAAATGAGTCGATCAATCATGCTTATAAAATAAAACCTCACTCTGGACACAAAGCTCCTGTGAGCTTCCCTGCTTAATAATAATTTCTATGTATTGGTATACATCGATGTGTAGGAGGGTGATGCATCCTGACTTCACAGGGAGAAGGCACTGGAAGCTTTGTGTTGGGACCCTCCCAGACCTTGTCCTACACATGTCTTCTTTGGTCAGACCTGATTTTTATCTTTTTTGCCACAATAAAATTGTAAACCTAAGTATAGTGGTTTCCTGAGCTCTGTGAATCATTCTAGTGAATTACTGAACTCAGGAGGTAGTAAGAAACCTCAAATTTGTATCTATTTTGTCAGAAGTATGGGTGACTTGGGAACCCCAAAACTTCTGCTTGGTGTCTAAAGTAAGGGCAGTTTTGTAGTAGACTAGGCCCTTGTAAAGTTTGGCCTAATTTGGGGTAGTGTCAGAAGTCATTGTACCGGCAAAAAAAAATTTTTTTTGAGATGGAGTCTTGTTTTGTTGCACAGCAGGAATGCAATGGTGCGACCTCAGCTCACTGCAACCTCTGCCTCCTGGGTTCAAGAGATTCTCCTGCCTCAGCCTCCCAAGTAACTGGGATTACAGGCACACGCCACCATGCCTGGCTAATTTTTTGTATTTTTAATGGAGACGGTATTTTGCCATGTTGGCCAGGCTGGTCTCGAACGCCTGACCTCAAGTGATCCTACTGCCTCAGCCTCCCAAAGTGCTGGGATTATAGGCATGAGTCACTGCCCCTGGCCTCAGCAAAAATATTTTTAAAAGACAGAGGTGAAAAATAAATACTTTTTCAAACAAAAGAACTAAATAAAATTCTCAACAGCAAACTACACTACAAAAAAAAAGTTTTTAAAACGTCCTTTAGGCAGAAGCAAAGGATACCAGGTGGAAATATGGATCTGCACAAAAGAATGAAGAGCAATGGGAAACTTAACTACATGGAAAAGGACGCATGACATTTTCTTGTTATTTAAATCTATTTAAAAAGCAGTAAATGTTTAAATAATAATAATAATATTACTATTAAATAATAATAGTGTGGGATTTACAACACATCAGGATCAAAAGTTTGAAAACAACTATATAAAAGCTGGAAGGGGAGAAATGGAAGATTCTAATCCTGTATGTGAAGTGGTATAATATTATTTGAAGATTGATATGAGGGCTATGTTAAAGATATATACTATAAATGCTAAGGTAAACATTAAACAATAAAGGGCTATAGACTATAAGCCAATAAAGGACATAAATGGAATAAAAATACACACTTAACCCCAAATAAAGCAGCAAAAGATCATGGAAGAAGAAAAAACAGATGGAATAATTAGGAAACAAATAAGGAGGTGGCAGACATAAACAAACCACATCAACAACCACATTAAATGCCCCAATTAAAAGGTAGAGACTGTTAGATTGGATTTTTAAAAAAG